ATTTTTTATATATTTTATACATATATCCAGAAAACTATGTACATTATATAACATCTGAGGAGACAAAACTCATAAAGTTATAGATACTAAGTGTGTTAACCACAAGCAATCTCAAACCAGATACATCCTGTCCAAAGCATTCTATACCTAAGGACTCTCTCCCAGGGGCAATAGTTTTATTAAACATTTAAAATATATCAAGATATCTCATTTAATTCTTATCAGAAAAAAAAGCTGTGATTCAAAAGAATTGTCCAAATTACATTTGAAGAAATGAAGATTCCCAGAAGTCAAATAACTTGTCTTAGATCACCAAATAATCAGTGTAAAATAGAATTAAATTTAGGCATGCCTACACCTAAACTCTATGATGGTTTTATACAATATAACAGAACTTAATTACTTTACAATTAACTGAGTATTTGAATACAGTATTACTCCTTTAAAGTAGTTCGTTAGAGGTCCTGAGAGGAAAAGATAAATTTAGCTACTTAATGAAAAACAGTAAAACAAAGTCAAATGACAAGTGACTCTTGGAAAATACTGGCAACATGCCTCAGAGAAGCAATTTTTCAAATATATAAATGGATATTTATAAGAAAAAGGGAGGGAGAGGTGGGTCCAATTTAAAAATGGGAAGGGATACATACAATTTACAGAAAAGGAAACAAATTCAACCCATGAAAAGCTACTCCAAACATGAAAAGTATTTCAACATTTGCTGCTCCATACACTGTTTCCTAAAAAAGATAAATGGTTATCTTCAAGTTATAAAATGAATAGAAATCATAAAGTGTACTGATAACACTGTACTAATGTGGAAAATAGGGAGAATGACACTTCCATGTATTGTGGGGGCGTATAAACTGGAAAACTCACACAGGATTTTACAGTATCTATTAAAATTACAAATGAACATGGCCTTTGACCACGCAATTCCACTTACAGAAATGTCCTGCTGTTCTACATTTGTACTATAGATTACCTATGTCCACCATATGTGAAATGAGGCACGCATGGGAGAGCTGCTGCATCATCACTGTGACAATGACGACTGGAACCCCCCTCAGGTTTATCAGTGGACAGATTTGTAGTATGGACTGCTAGGGTTAAAGAAAGGAAGCACTTAAAGTCTTCAAGATAAAGGTAAGAAATAGGATTCAGAATAGTGCATATAAATGCTACCAATTGTTATGTATGTGAGTTCGTCCACATAAATGCTTGTATAGAATATTCCTAAAAGGAGAAGAAAAATCTTGATAATGGTAGCTATTGCCATAGATGGGTGTTGGAAGGCCTAAGGACAGGAGTAAGTAGCAGAGAAGAATGAATTCTCTCTTTTGGCAGCAAGGATTGGTATCTGATTCAAATATTACTAAAAAATTGTTATGTACATTGTGATAAGTCTTTCCAATACAATTAAAATATAAGGCTCATCCAAACAAAAATATTGAATAAGTTAAATGCAGATTATTCAAATATCCTACGAATTTTATAATTTTTTTCACTGAAAAGAAACCGAGTGCATGAAATCAGTAACTAAGTTCAATTAATGATTATCATGCCTATTTCAGCAGAAGTCTATTTTTCACTGTATATCTTTTTGAGTACATGTAGATGCAATACCTATTTTAAAATTCTAAATAATTAAAAAATTATTCCATGGCTTAATCTAACAGTTTTAAAAATCACAGACTATACCATCTATATTAAAAAACACTCCAATTATTAGGAGCACGTGATCTTGAACAAGTCACTCAAGCTCTTCTAATGCTGCAGTTTCTTTTATTCAGAATTAAATGTAAGGAGACTCCAGCCACTACTCTGGAGTTAGATTAACTAGGTTTGAACCCCAGCTCTTCCTGTTACACTGTGTAAAATCTTAAGCAAATTACTGAACCAGTCTGTGTCTCCCATGTACAAATGGGACAGTAATAATTGCGAGGCAGCCTCTGAAATGATCCTGTCTTGTATTTATCCTTCCTTGGAATAATCTTTTGCACCAAGGCAAACTGGTTTTTGAATGGGTAGAGAAGCGAGCAAAGTTCCTGGCAGTCCAGAGAAGCAGCACTGGAAGTGTTTCCTGGGTCACTCTCTCACCTCTATATTGTGACTCCTGTCCCTGTCACACCAGACTGTATGTCCCATGACAATAGAATGCATGTCTTTTATGTCAGCAATCTAGCTCAGTGCCTTGACTATATAAGGTCTCAAGCTGACCCATATATACAGTGCAGTTTTTTTCATTTTCCTTTGGACTTCAGAGAACATGCATCAGGTTATGAGAGTTCAAGAAACTGCAAAGCCCTCTGAGTTGCAAGGAGGCTCAACATCAACATCAGCCAGGAGGACAGTGCTAGGACAATCCCACAAGGAAACTGCTGCAGGCACATGCGTGAACTGATGTGGCCAGAGGCAAAGTACTGCAAGGGGAGATGAAGAGAAATGCACTGACTGATCTGGGCCCAGGTGATTTATGTGGATGCCAAAGAGAAGCTGAACTTGTATTGTATAGTATTTCTGATTCAGGAAGTAAGGTAGACAGTGTCCCATTCAGCAAACCCAGGACTACAGACTGATACACCTGAGTGTAGGGTGATGATGAATTCAAAATGTTAACTCAAGGACAGAGTTTGTTCTGTGTGGTATTCCCAAGGCCTAGCAGGACCTTCATCTCGCAGATTGACACTGTTTCACTGTAAAGATTCAGCGATTCAGTAATTCTTTGATTGTTAAATAAAGTAAAAAGATGTTTATAAAAGTGCTACTTCAGGAAGAAAAGGAAAATTAAAATAGCCACCTTATGTACAGGACCAAGCAAATTGTACAATATTTACCAAGAGAATGTAAAACTTCTACCATCAAATATTGGACAGAGAAAAAGCACAATCATGCTTTTATGACTTTAAATGCACTCTTTTTAGCTATTTGTTGATAGAGTGTTTTAAAAAAAGAATTCCAGTTTCCAAAGAAAAAGTTAAGTACTGACTCAGCAGTAAGTTGAAAAACAATGGGTAGCTGAATATAAGAACTGTTTTAAACAATTTAGATCAGAGAAGGTCTGTAACAAGACCAAAAGCATTCATGTCCATTGTCTCTGCAGGTCCTCATGTAGCAGAAGTGCAAAACATTTCTTCCACATACATTTCCCATCGCCACTTAGGAAAATCACTCTGAATGCCCTACCTGATCTTAAGATTTTCAAGGTCTTCAGAGAAAATAGCATAATTTTTAGTCAGGAATGTTCCCAGCTGATTATCGTGTAAACCCAAATCCTTGAGAAACAGGAGTATTTGCTTAATATCTTTTTCAAAATCCAGTCTTAGAAGGAGGTTGGCTGTATCTGGATGCTTTTCTATCTTGGACAAATCCACTCCTATAATAAATGACAAATACTCCTTGAACATAACTTGTTATAAGCACAAAAATTACTGATGAATAATCCACTCAAAGAACTGAGATAGACAAACAGAAACTTTGAAATTTTTTCATTTTCTTTAGACAGGTTCTCACTATGTAGTTCAGGCTGGCCTTGAACTTGTAGCAATTCTCTTGCATCAGCCTCCAGAGAGCTAGGATTAGAGGCATGCACTACCACACTGGGTTTACATCTAAATATTTTATTAGTTTATTAAATTTATTGGTACCAGTTACATTCATCATGATGTATCTTGGTTCTTATTTTTTCTCCATATCCCTGCCCTTCCTTCACCCCCTCCACCCTTCCCTATTTACAAAGACTTTGTTTCCATTTTTTTCCTTTTCTCATTATTTTTTCTTTTCCCTTCTTTCCCCTACATTCCCATTTCCCCTACTTCTTTAGCTCCTTTCTTATTTCACATTATGTTATACAATTTTATTCTTATTTACACTTTTAGTTTTTCACACCAGAGAAATTACTGGGTATTTACATGTGTGTCCTGTTTATTTCACTGAAGAGTATGGCCTCAATATACATCCATTTAGCTATAAATGACTCTAGTTTATCATTTTATGGCTGAGTAGTACTCCATTTAACAAAAAAACAAATCTTGAGGCCACGGATTTGGCTCAGAGGTTCTGCTGCCTGCCTTGCAAGCGCAAGGGCCCAAGTTGATCCCTGGCACCAAAAAAAAAAAAAAAAAAAACCTAGAGAGAAAAGAAAAACCACATTTTCTTTATCTTTAAAACTACATTAGTTACAGTAATAAAAGCAAATTGAGTTATAGTATTTATGTCGAAGACAAGTATTGAGGAAAACAAGAGTGTTCAGGGCTATTATTTTCTGCAAAGACAAATTCAGTAAGCTGCATCAACAATGGAACACATCTTTGTCTATGGCTTCTTGCATACTGTCTGCAGGATGTTTGAGAACCCCTAATGATATCCACAGTACTTTCTCAACTGGTAATTCTACAGGATACAAATCCTATAAATTGTTAACTAAGTTTTTGTTTACTCAACTGTTATTTTATCAAATTTTATTGGTACATTTACAGTACATATTTACATTCCTCATGGATAGTACATGCACATAATAGCTCAATTCTTTTATCCCATCACCTTTCCTTACCTTCTCTCCCCACTCCTTCACTCCATTCCCATTTGTGAAAGATCTCTAGTTTCTATTGTCTATCCTTTATTTTGCTCTGTATTTGTATTTTATTTATATTACAGGATATTTAAGCTTGTGTATCTGATTTATTTTACTTAACACTATGGACTCAAGGTGTATCCATTTTCCTACAGATGAATGAAGTTCATTCTTCTTTTGGCAGAACAATATGTTACAGTGTATAAATACCATATTTACTTTGTCCATTCATCTGCTGATAGACATACAGGCTGCTACCAAGATTTAACTACTGTGAACTGTGCTACTATAAACATGGGTATGCATGTATCACTGTAACATGTCTTTAACTTTTGGAAGATACCTAGAAGGGGAACAACTTGGTCAAACAGCTTCATTTGTCTGAGGACTCTCCATGCTAATTTCCATAGTGGTTGTGCTAGTTTACATTCCCACCAACAACGGAAAAGGATTCCTTTTCCCCACAGCCTTGCCAGCATTTGTTATTTGATTTCTTGATGATGATGATGATGGCCATTCTTTCTAGGGTAAGATGGAATCTCAGTTTGCTTTAACCTGCATTTCTATAAAGATAAAAATGTTGACCATTTCTTCATGTATTTATTGGCCATTGGTACTTCTGAGAAGTGTCTATTCATTTCACTTGCCTATTTCTTTTCTTTTCTTTTCTTTTCTTTTTGATTATGGGGATCGAACCCAGGACCTTGCACTTACTTGCAAGGCAGGCGACAGAACCACTGAGCTAAATCACCAGCCCACTTGCCATTTCTTGATTGGGTCTTTTATTGGGGGAATCCAATTTTCTTTGAGTTTTTTATGTAGTCTAGATCAATAGTGGAAAACCTAGGGCACACATGCCACAGCAGGCTGTTTATATAACTGAAAGCTCTAAAAGGTTTTCCATCGCTGGTCTAGATATTAGTTCTCCGATGAATAGCTGGAAATTTTTTTCCCATTCTATAGTTTATCTTTTCACTCTTTTGATTGTTTCTTTTGCTGTACAGATACTTTTGAATGAGATGATCCCATTTGTTGAATCTTAGTACTATTTCTTGTGCAACTGGGGTCCTGTTCAGAAAGTGGTTGCCTACACCTATGACTTAAGAGTTTTACCTATTTTATTTTCCAGCAGGTTAAGTGTTTCTGTTCTAACATTTAGTTTTTTGATCCATTTTGATTTTAATTTAGTACATCATGAGAGATATAAGTCTAGATTCAATCTTCTACATGTGGGCAGCCAGTTTTCCCAATACCATTTGTTAAAGAGACTGTCTTTTCTCCAGTGTATGTTTTTGGTTCCTTTGTCAAAGATCAAATAGTTGAATGTTCATAGGGTTGTTCCCGTATCTTCTAGTCTGTTCCACTGATCATCACGTCTGTTTCTGTGGCAGTACAATGCTGTTTTTTCACTGTAGCTTTGTAACATAACTTCAAGTCTGGGACTATGATACACTCCTCATTTTGCCCTTAGAGCAAATGCCACATAATTTGGGGGAAAAATCATTCCAATATTGAATTATAATTGGGTGTAATTTTCTTGCCTACAGGTTGGCTATGGCATGTAGAGACACAACTCCTTTTCTGCCTCTGGTCACAGCTAAAACCTCAATGGTCCTACAATGCAGGCCAGGACTGCATCAGCTGAAGACATCCAAGTTCCTTGAGAACCCAGTAGTAAGAGAAAGGTTTCACCTACCTGGAGAGGGATAAATTCTTTATCAGCTCAAATGGATTCGAGGGACTCAATGCAGGGTCGTGAGGAGAGTTAAGGGAATACATACAGCACTCCTAGCTCCAGAAAGGAGGAGGCTGAAGAGTTTACCTGAGCCAGAGGGATTAGGAAGCTACTAGGAAGGGCTGCTTGCGGGCTGTTGGTATGGAGTGAGCATTTACAGGACCCAGAAAAAGAGGGAACAGGGGAAAAATACCTGCACATGGGTCTTCTAGCCTTTACCCTGCAGGTACCTTGCACTGACTGAAGCTACCCAGAAGCCACGTGCCCCTCTGGGATACAGAACAGGCAAGCAAACAAAGAAGAACCAGGACTTTGCTCAAAAGTATTATGTGATACAGCAATCATGGTTCCTTTACTTCTAGGTCATGCTGCTGAGGCATCAGCATACAGAGGAAGGATTGGCTGAAACATCTTTCAAAGCTCTAAGTCATTGATGGCGAACCTTTTAGAGCTTTTAATGATACAAACAGGCCGCTGCAGCATGTGTGCCACAGGACCACCACTACTGCTCTAAATACATACTGTAAATTATTGAAGAGTCATATCCATGTCTCAAGTTCACCATGCATCAACCACAACACCTGCCACAGGCAAGGAAAGCTGTTATGGAGGGGAAAGTGACTAGCTCCCCTGCTTACAGTCACACAATCTCTCACCTCTGAACTCGCAGAACACTCTTTAAAAATTGTATATATTTTGGGAATACAGCAGATGTGTGCGCACACAGCTGGATGATTAAATCAATCCAATTAACACATCCACCACTGCATATACTATTTTTTATTGTGAGAACATTTAAAAATCTACTTTGCTATTTTCAAGTACATACATTAATACATTATGAACTATAGTCATCATGCTGCACCATGATCTCCAGAATGTACTCCTTGTAACAAACCTTGTGACTTTTGACCAACATCTCCCCATCATACCAATTCTACTCTCTGCTTCTCTGAGTTTGGCTTTTCAGCTTTCACATGTGAGATCATACAGTTTTGCCTTTCTGTTCCTGTCTTATCTCATTTAGCATAAAGGACATCAATGTTGCAAACAGCATTTTCTTCTTTGTGAAGGCTGAATAATGTATCACTGTGTATTCACAGCACATTCTTTAACCAACCATGCATCTGTTGATGGACACATAGAACTGAGGTGGGATGGAAGATTTAAGTAGAAAGGACACAAGGAAATCAAGATTTTTAAAACTGTAAAGAAAAACTGCTGCTTCACAATGCAAGACTACTTTATTTACTTTTTTTTTTTCCTTCTCCAGAAACAGCAAACCTAGGCAACTCCCTTACAGGGAGAGGCAAATGGTTTTGCCCATTCCTTTTTACTTGCCAATGGTCCTCTGCCACCCATGAATGGACCACAATCTTGTCTCTCACTAGAGGTGGGCCATCCTCTCCTACTCATTAAGACTACAGATTATCAAATTCCACAGATTTCCACTTCATAAAACACTTGAAAGATCCCCAGTTCCCACTCTATTGGGCCCTATTATCTCCCTCTAATAAATCCTTCTCTCACCTCTTTTACTGACATGTCCTGAAAATTCTTTTTCCCTGATGGGTGACAGTGAATCTGCATACTTATTTCTTTTCTTTTTGGTACCAGGGATTGAATGCATACTTATTTCAAAGGGCTGGGTTATGTTCCTTATTTCAGCCTTGCTGACCGTCACACCCAGCCCAGTGACAAGATATGTACATGAGAAAGAGCAGTAATACTAGATTTTCAGGGCCAAAAGTGCTGATATGAAAACTGTCAAATTACTCACGGAGATACCTACAAGCTGTGGTTCAGTGACAAATGAGACCCTAAACAAAGGTGAGACTCTAGCAGGAGAGAATCAGATGGCCTTGAAAGATACAGAGGGGAGAATCTACAGGATAAGGTGCTAAAATTAGAGGACACAAGTAAGGGGAAAATCAATAATTGAAGATGATCCCTAACAGTTTCCAGCAAAGAATTTTTTGCTTTCTAAAATATGTGTGTGAGATGGGGCGGGGGGGATATAAAAAATTAGCTGCTTCTCTGATGAGTCAAGATTTAGCTACATCCTCAAACTACAATATATGAAAAAAGATGGAACAGAGATAACAGACTTATCAAAGAGAAATGAGAAACTTAAAATGCCTGCAAATGAGAATTCTGACAAGTGGCAAACTGACTAGAACAGGTTAAGCTGAAATGCTCCAAGTTTCAGACTCTGAATTTTCAGATTGAGGGATGTTCAAACTGTAGTATATACAAGTATTCTAAAATCTGAAGAACTAGAAATCTGAAACACTTCTGCACCCATGCATTGTAGCCAAGAGATCTCAACCTGTACCACAAAACTCAAAATGCTCAGAATGGGAGTCCACAGAGACCTAAAAGGTTAGAGATGAGTTATAGGCTAAAAACAGGGGCCAGGTTGTGTGACTTTTTATGGCAAACTCGGGATCCCCCACCCCATCCTACTCCCCAAGTCCCTTACCCTTCTGTTCCTCTCAATCCCCCTGGAGAAAAGAGGTTCATTGCTTGGTAAAATCATGTAAGAGAGTATTAAACTCAGAGGTAATGAGAAAAGTAGAAGTTTGAAGTAAGTTGCTAAATTCTAAGTAAGACAACTAAATTGAAGTATGCAGTGAGATCCACTGTTGCCTTTTAACTCTCCAGCTCCAAGTGATATAGGGGAAATAAATATAACTCTCAACTTGTTAGATGTCAGATATGCCAAGTTTGTGTTCCTCAAAACCAAAGAATGAATTTTAACGAACAAAAGGTTAAGATAGCAAATATTTATTGAGGGAGACAGATGTGGCTCCTGAAAGATAGGAGGGGACCTGAAAAATGGGTTGCCATGGATCCCACTTTCTAGAGGAAGTTTTAGAGTAAAATTACAAAGTAAGGGCAAAATCTTGAGGTGGGTACATTATGGAACAAAACTATGATCAATCAATAAAACTACAAATTTAGCTGCTTAGGTAATATGAACCCAATGGGGAAGCAGGTCATGTAGCAAGTGTGCACATAAAGAACAAGGACCATTCTAGGAAGAAACAACCAGGGGGTTCTGTCCACCCACTGAGGTGACACTATCCCCAATTCACTGCTCATCCCTTGGGGAGGCGTGCTCTTCCTATCTCCATGTTGAGGCCTGGCACTCAACAGATGTGCCTCCAGCTACAGCTGTAATGTGTTTTCCTCTTCTTCACTAACTCCCTTGAGTGTCTAGCCCTATCTGCCTGCCTATAATATTTTACCTAACTTAGTTGTCTATAATACAAGTACAACCTACAAGTCAATAGCCTAAGATAGTTATGGAGCAAGTCTAGAGAGAAATTATCCAAATCAGGACAGGGGACTTCAGGAGAGAGGTCAGGGGATAGCATGGCAAATGGGAACAGCATACTATGGAGAGTTAAGAGTAACATATTATTTGATTGGGTGAACTGAAAAACTGTTCTGAGAGGTCCCTGGAAGGTATGGAAAAATTTAACCCTTGACATAAGGAAAACTAATCAAATGAAAAACAAAGCAATTATTAATTCCAGGAAGACCAAAAGTTGTACAGGAAGAAAATTAATAGTATACTTTTGGTTAAGAATACTAGTGGCATTATACTCAGAATATAATCACTGATTAATGATTTCTCTAAAAATTATAACTATTGGGCAAATTGAAGAGAATATGGGAAAAGCTGATGTGTATATATAAAAGATCAACTGATGTCCAACGCTGATGAAGCAAGAGCACTGTAAATGCTTTAAAAATGTAGCGATTAAGTACAAATTGAAAGAGTGAGAAAAATCGAATCATCTGGGGAAAGGGATCCAGGGTCATGAAGAATGAAGCAGGGAATGTGGCCTTTTTACTTTGTTACTTTTGTTCATGAGTAAACTACTTTGACAAAGACTAAAATGTTAATTTTAAAAGTAGGGTAAAAAGTAAAGTGTCCTCAAGAAGTACACATACACATAGGTCAAACTTACCCAGAAGCACTAACTTCTGCAGGGTCTCAGAATGATCTACATAGTCTCGAAGAGTGTATGAAGCTGGGGGTAACAGAGGGTGTGCAGCAATCTGAATAGCTTCCTCCTCAGAAACTTGCTGCAATGAAGACAAGGGAGGCAAATCATCCAGATCTTTTGAGGTCAGCCATGTGGAAAGAGGGAAACAAGTTAGCTCTCTACGGTACACACTTAAAAACGGTTTCTACAAAGATCAACCTCTTTGTGTCTTTCACGGTTAAACCTTGGAATCATTTCAAAATTAAATATTTAAGAAGTTCACAAAAATTCTACCTTCTAAGTGGTAAGATTAAGACTACAAAGAAAAGACCAGCTACTATTCCTCCAAGATAAGTTTGTTGGTAAGTTTCAAGGCACAGAACTCTCTTCATTTTTCATCAGCAGATAAGATCAACTGCTCTGCAAGCACATTTTTTTCTCTTGGTATTTAGGATTGAATCTCGTTTTTTTTTTTTTGGTACTGGTGATTGAACTCTGGTCCTTGAGCTTGCGAGGCAGGCAGCGGAACCACTGAGCTAAATCCCCGGCCCTGAATCTTGATCTTTGACCTGAGCTATAAGCCTAGCTCTTTTAAAATTTTTAAATTTTGAGACAGGGACTTGCTAAATTGCCCAATCTGAGCTCAAAATTTGCAGTCCTCATCTTCCCAAAGTGCTGGGATTACAGGTGTGCACCACTGTACCCTGCTCCTTCAAGCACATTTTGAGAGAATGAATCTACCACAGCAGGTTACCTTGGCCAAAAGTGTATATTTCAACAGCCTGAATTGCAAGGTTAAAGTCATGACACCCTAAAAATGCTTTGTTTTGAACCAATACCCTTCTAAGTTATTCTCAACTGCCTTTACGAAAAGAATGACTATAGTTACTTTGTAGTACTGTAAGAACTGTTCTTTGGTACAGCCTTGATTCTCAGGTTTACTTCTTATTAAAATACAGTATAGAAGATCCTTGACATTGTAACTTCAGAAACTGGACTGTGATCCTTCTGCTGTTTTTTGCCTCTAATTGCTACCTACCCTTCCTCATTTTTCATAGCCAGGCTTTCATCCTGCCCCTCTTCCAATTAGCTAGCTTTGTCTTTCTCTTCATACATTCATTCATATTCTGCTTAGCCAAATATTATCCCATTTGTGATGCAATACTAAACTCCAAGACTAGGAAGCACAGGAAGGAGAGGACTAAAAACCAAGACAGAGGAGCTTTTGGAGGTGATGTAACTGTTCCAATTGCTGACTGCGTTGGTTGCTACACAACTTAATGTATAGGTAAAAAGTCACAGAACAGTAGACCCCAAAAGACAGATTTTACCTGATGTCCATTATACTCTAATAAATCAATTAACAGAAGAAAAAAATTTAAATAATGTATATAATGACCTATTTAGGAACAAGTGTTATATATAGCTATGAAACAATCATATATATTACCCCACAAAAATCACAGTTAAGTAAATTAAAGGTTTAGTAGGAGTAAATGAATAAAACTGGCACTGCTCCTCTTCTTGCGTGATATAAAATATGACCTGAAATGGGCTAGCAGAACATAAACAAGTAGTTTGTTCAAACTACCAAAGAGGAGAAAGAGGGACTTTGCTGAAAATTCAGAATTACCTTCTAAAGACAGCTCAGAATCAAAGCTGGGTAGCTTTTGTGTCTTCTCTGACTGCTCATTCACCACAGGAAGCAGAGTGCTCTGGGCAGAATTACTCTCTTGCCTACTTGAGTTGGGAGACTGGGAACTATTCCATAAGGAGGAAGTTCTGTAAGTCTTATATCCCCACTGGAGAAAGCAATCGTCAGAGGACAGCTCAGGCCGGGCAGAAAAGCTATTTAACAATGTTTTTCCTGGTCTGGGAAACTGTTTTGTGAGTTGTGTTGCATTAATGAAGCTCCTCAATTTAATTGAGTTGAACCATCTGGGTATCTGTTGGGCTGACAGGGCCATTTTTCTTACAATAGTCTACAAAGAAAAAGTACAACAACCATCAAAAGAAATTCAATTTACTTAAATGTTCAAAACAGTGTTCACACAGCAAAATAAATTGGCAATTATTTTTTCTAAATGAAAATGTTCAAATAAATTCAGACGACAAAAGTAGTGAAATGTTTCTTATATACAGAAAAAGCCACAAGCAAGGCAGTCTCTCATAAACCAAGACAATAATATCTGTACGGGAAAAATAAGGCTATGCTTTACAATTTAAAAAAAGGCAAATTTACTGATGAAAGAAAAACATTTAAAACAAAAATCTATAAATGTTCAAACTGCAACTGATCCAAGTAAAGTTAATCAATCATTTATGGAAAATACGATGATGCAAATTAAATGTTCTTGGAATTTGGTTTGAAGGGCATTTAAGAAGTGCATTGCTGATCAAAGTAATACTGAGTTATTCAAATGAATTTTTGCATTAAATCAGTCAAAAAATAGAGGAAATCCACTCTGTCTTAAATGAATTGTCACAATAATATAGTAGAACAGTGAAGGCTGTTTCTTGTTTAGTCCTTAGAGCTGAACATTGATCATTATTCCGCATATAAAGCTGCTTTTCAAAAGAAAAACGAACAAAACTAGTTTTGTCAAATTGTGTTTCACTGTAGGAAAGAGTTCCTTCAAAGAAAACGTCAAAATAGCAAAGTGACAAAACAAAGAAGAAACCAGCAATGCAAAAATGTGTATGCTGAGTGGAAAAGTAGTTCTTTTTAACAAACTGACATTGCTATTTCAAACTCCAGGAATATGAAAGAATTTTGCTAGCTCATTAGAATGGTAAATTTGATATATATATATAAAACCTATGTTAAGCTAATCCATATGAAACATGGCATAGAATCAAGCGTATAGTAAATGCTCAATACATATTAGCCATTATTAACTAGACAAAAATACAATTAATTCTGTCAATTAACTGATGCATACAACTTCCTGCTTTGTTCTACTACATATTGGAACTCAGCTTGTTTTATCCTCTGAATTAAATACTTGAGGGTTTATGTTCTTGGAGATTTGCAGCTTTGGGAAGACGGCTGAAAGAGTTTTTTTTTTTGTTTTTTTTTTGTTTTTTTTTTGTTTTTTTTTTGAGGTGGTGGTGTTTACCGGGTATCAAACTCAGGACCTTGAGCTTGTGAGGCAAGCGGTGGAACCACTGAACTAAATCTCGGGCCCTGAAAAAGAATTTATAAAAGTGAAAATCTCCCTTTCACTCTAAGGTGATCTCAGAAAGGAAATAAATATTCACAATGAACTTGTGGAATAGTAACTTTTATTACATTTTGGTAGGACACAAGTCAGGTTTTCCCTCAAACCTACTCTGCTCTGCACAGGCACCCAAGTGATGGCCCAAAGATGTCAGTTATGCTGTCGTGCCAAGTGTCTCTTGTGTGGTCTACCACAACGTGTGGCCCGCGAGAAAGGCTAAATAACCATTCTTCAGGTACCTCTCAACTTTTTTAGACTTCCAAGTTTGTCTACACATTTAGTCCTACTTCAAATGAAAATCCTGAAATCCCAAATTCACCCTGGAGTCTCTCCTGAATCGTTATTCAAAAGTGGGGAAGGAGGTAGATTAAACCGGTTGGTGGAACTAACCTATAAGCCCACCATTCTGGGAGGCTGAGGCTGGAGGATGGCAAATTCCACCACAAAGTGGACAACTAGGCAACTTGGGGAGACCCTGTTTCAAAAAGGGGCCGACGGTGCAACTCAATATGAAAATCGCAAGTAGTGCCACCCCAGGCAAAACTCTAAAGTATCGTAAGATATTCTCAACTGTGTGTCTAGTACTTTGTTAGGAACAGAAACAAGCATGGGAGCACTCATCTTTCGGGCTTCGAGATATCTACCTCGGTAACTCTAAGTCAATTCAGAAGCTAAGGGGGATGAAGGGGTGGCTCCGTAATAAAGGGCTCTTCCCTCTGCGTTCGGCCCCGGCGCCTTCTGAACCAGCCCTTCTAGTTTCCCCAGGAGAACTTCCGCAGGAAGCCACTCGACACGCAGGGCTTCGTTCTGCGTCCTTCCAGAGCCGCTAACAAACAAGCATGGCCGCGGTCGGCCCCTCGGGGAACGAAACACACCCCAAGCCCTGTCCACCGGCCACCAGGCCCCGAAGGCCATTCCCTCGCTTTACCTGTGGCGAAGCCCGCGCTCCCGGTTCCCCGCGACCGCCCCGGGTTCAGGCCCCGCACGCCAGTCCTCCCTCCCGCTGGGCTTAGCGCGGCGCTCCCAGACCACGTGGGGCGAGCAATCTTATTCTCAGATAAAGTAAATTTCAAACCAAAACTCATTAAGAGAGACAAAGAAGGACACTACATCCTTGTAAAGGGAACAATTCAAGAGGAAGAGCTGACAATCATAAACATATATGCACCAAA